TATTTAATTATAAATAAACTATGAATTTAGGAACTATTGTGATAATCCTATTTTATGGCTTATTGAAGGCTACTTAGCCTTGAGGTTAGCAGGAAGACAATGTGCTTACCCGTGACGATGGAAGACTACAAGCCTCTAAAGCTGTTTCCACCCGCTTCCTGTCAGCAGAAAACAAGCGATATACACTGTAAAGTGAAGACAAAAATAAGTGATAGTTATTATATACATAAATCACAACACATAGACATGATGATAAATGAAACGTGTTATTGAATTAAATATTCATCCTTAATCAATGAAAAGAGGCCCACGTCCATGCACCTGCATATGTCTTCTCAAAGATCGATGTGTGTGCTTTTACAATTTAATGTGGGGGCGGGGGTGAGGGAAATTGAAAGAATTTGTTCACATTTGTATTGGAATTTTATAAATAAACTAGTATAAAAAAGAAACAATATATTTTAAAAGTTCGATATAAAATCAATATGTTGAAATTATGATTATTATCTGATTTAAAAGTGCTGCATTCAGTAATTTCTAATCATTAAGCACTAAAATAAATGTCCTTACAACTCTGTCTCCTGGCTGGTACCCATTGTCTGCACATTTTTATTTACAGCAGCTCATTAAAAACACTCAAACTCACAGCTGACTCTGCACTGGAGTTCTGAGGCTGCAAATCCCACAGAAGGGGGCCATCTAACTTTTTCCCCGGGGAGCTGCTGGTGGATTTGAACTGCCAGAGAAGCATGGTCTCTGGGTTAGCAGCCCAACTCCCTGCCGACTGTGCCACCAGTGGTTCATATCTGTTCTCTTTCCAGTAAAATCACGACCCCTGAAGATAGTGGTGGTTCCATGGTACAAACCTCACTTTCCAGAAAGGAAACCCAATTTTGGTTCCTGACTAAGCCGATGTACCTTGTGCACAATCACCACTCCTATAAGGGGTGGTCTGTGTATGACTGTGATCCTGGATAGGATGTGGACTTGTACTGTCTTTGTTTAGTAATTTGCTTTTAAAATTGAGGCACCGGTGGTGGTGGTGTGTACCATCGGGTCAGAGCTGACCCACAGCAGATCCTGCAGTGGGTTTTCAGAGGCAGTTAATCACATGGGAAGAGATTGCCCATCCTTTACCCTCACAGTAGCTGGTGGATTTGAACTTTGTGTCTTTGGGAAGCAGTGCAGCTTCTTGCCAGTAGGCCATGAGAGCTCCCTCTAAGCACTAGAAAGCTTAAAATCAAATTCTGGGTAAATGGTTCTATTGAAACATTAGAAAATCTAACACACAGCACTCAGATTCCTGGGAACAGTGGATGTGAGTCATTGTTATTTCTCTCATAGAAGATTTTGATTTTCAGTTTATAGACCTCCTTCTGTCCTGATTAATCAAGTAAGTCCCTTGCGAGGTTCCTGCTGGCATATGAGTTTACAACCCCTGTCATAAGGAGTCACTAACCTTGTCCAATTTCACTCTTAAAGTTGACCTGAATCTCAGCTGGGTTTTGGCAGCAAGATCCCCCTCTCCCATCACCCTCTGCTCTGCGTTGGTATTTCTTGACCAACCTATGGGAAGGGGTATCCCAGGGGATGTGTGCTAGAAACCCAGGGCCCGGAAGTGAGACATGGCACATGGCGACACCAGCGTCACCACGCCTTTCCATGCTTCACTTAGGCTGCTGAGGAAACAGGACAGGGTCATGGCATGAGCCCAACTCCTTATGAGAAAGAACATGAATAATGGGGGATGCTCACGCAGCTTACTTTTTGAGAGGAATGCGCCCTTCCGGAGTGACTTGAAGCTTCAGTTTAGTATAGCTGTTGGGAAAGCAGGGGGTGGGGGAAAATGTTTAGTTTATACAAAAGCTTTTTATTGAGAATAAAATAGATTTTTTAAAAAGAAAAGGCCTAGGTGTACATAGTTTGCTGAATATTCACAAACTGCTTATGTCTCTACAAACAGCACTCAGGTGAGAAAATAGAGCATTATTGCTGTCCACACATCCCATATGTCCGTCCTCTGCCCACTTTCAGAAACTTTCTCCCCAAAGGAATTGTCAGCGTGCCTTTTAATAATACCATTTTTAGCATGTTTTTATAATTAATATAAAGTACATAAAATCATATTCTTTTGTGTCTAGCATCTTTATAACAGGGTTTGTTTGCTTTGATTTTTTTTTAAATTGATATTTTAGTGAATGTTTATAGAGAACTTGGATTTCCATTCATTTAATGTTACACATTTTGTTCCCCCTCAGTTCGCTTTTCTCTTTGGAAAAAAAAAAGAAATTCTTTCATCCTTATACCTTCTCCCATCGTTAATCCTTCTCCCACCGAGTCCACTTTACTATGCAACTCTTATTCTGGATTCTTGTCATGCAAATAACACCTAATCATATATTCCTTCTAAACAGGTCTCTCCCTCCTCTGTTCCAATGCAGTGTATATTGTCTATCCCCTTTTTTCTTAGTTTGCCCCCATCCACGTGTCAGTTCTACTTTATAACAGTGGTATTGTGTAGTATTTATTTGTCCTTTTGTGACTGAGATATTTCACTCAGCATTATTTTCTCCGGGGTCACATATTTGGTATAATATATCATGAGTTCCTTATTTTCAATGCTGCATAGTATTCCATAGTGTGAATATACCACAGTTTCTCTATCCATTCATTTATTAATAGGCACTTGGATTGTTTCCAATTCTTTACTATTGTGAACAAAGCAGCAATAAACATGGGTGTGAATAATAGGTTTTTCAGATCCATCCATATCATTTTTGCTTACAGTAGACAACCACTGTTTGACTCAAGTCATGGTATTTTCAATTGCTTTGTATGCAAGTGGAAGTTTAATAAGAAGAAGGAAGACCCAGGAAGAATGGTGTCTTTGAATTGTCACATTAGCAAAGAGCGTTGAACATTCTCCAGACTGTCAAAAAAACAAGTAAGTCTTGGTGCAAGTGTGATCACGTGTCACTTTGGAAACAAGACTAGTGAAAGTTTGCCTTTTGGAAAAAAGTTACTTTGGGTAAGTTGTTAGAAAAGGGTCATCCATGGAAAAAGACGCCATGCTTAGAAATGTGGAGGGTCATAAAAAGAGAGGAAGACGCTCAACAAGGTAGACTGATACAGACACTACCACAGCGGGCACAAGCATGGTGGAGACTGCAGGATGGCACAGGACAGGGCACAGTTTGACGTGGTGTTCATAGGGTTACGATGAGTCAGAGTTGGCTCGACCACAACAACATCCTGTTTCATCATTTATAGTATTCAGTTATGTAAATATAACAAGTGTATTTATCTCGTCAACTGCTTTTGGACATATGAGGAAAGAGATGGAACAAGAGAAGCCTCAAGCATCGCTGATGAAAAGGTAACCTGGGATGACTCCTTCAGTGTCTGAGCTGTGAAACAGAGGTCTCACATCTCGGTACAAGTATGACAGAGATGCTTAATACAGGCATCAAAAGTCTTATTCTAGACTATCCACAGAAATTATTCTTACGGAAGCACTTATCTGGATTAGAAATTTAGAACAAATTAATCAACTAGTTGTTCTTATTGTTGTTATGTGCTGTTGAGTTGCTTGTGACTCATAGTAACCTTCTGTACAACAGCTCTGAATCCTACTCTATCCTGTGCAAACCTCATCGTCTCTGACATACCAACCTTCATTACCTCAGTCACTATACTAATCCCTAGAGTCTTCCTCTCTTGTGCTGTCCCTACACCATTCCAAGCATCCTGTCCCTCTCCACTGACTGGTCCCTCTTTGCAACATGTCCCAAGTGAGTCAGATGAAGCTTCAGAATCCTTGCTTCCAAGGAGCAGTCTGGTTTCACTCTCTCCAACATGAACCTGCTTATTTTTCCTAGCAATCCATGATATATTCAATACTCTTCTCCAGTATCACAGCTCAAAGGCATTAATTTTATTTCTAGTCATCTCTAGTCATTGTTCAGCTTTCTGATGCATAGCAAATAATTGTGAAGACCATGGCTTGGATCACGTGCACCTTAGTCTCCAGACTGATATTATTGCTCTTCAGTACTCTGAAGAGGTCTCCCTGACAACAGAGTTTACCAATGAACTGTATGTTATAAAACTAAAAAAAACCATTCACTGCTATAAAGTTGCCTCTGACCCCTGGTGACTGCACAGGGCAGAGCAGAACTGCCCCAAGGGGTTCTCAGGGCTTTAAGTCCTCACAGGAGCACGAAGTCCCAGCTTTCTTCTGTGCTGCATTTGCTCTCTAGCCTGTATTTCAGGTATAACATCATGTTTTTATCTGGGTTTTTCAATGAACATTGCCTGAAACAATAGATATTCTAGAAATGTCAGCTGGGTAATGAATGGTAGGACCAAAGAAAGAATAAAAAGAAGAATGAAAATGATAAAAAACAAAGAAGAAGAAGAGGTGGGAAGAAAATAAGCACACAGGAAGTGTCTTTAAGATGACAAATGAATTTAGGAAACATTTAAAGGATGATACAGCACTGAGTAAAAGCAAGACAAATTCAAAGGACAGTAAAAAAGGAACGTGGGCTGGAGGGATCTGAGGTCTGGAGTAATGGATATGTTTTGTATAAGAAGAGGGTAGAGAAAAAAACTAGTAAAATGACCACTCAGTATACTAACTGACAATTTTGAGTCAAATGTTTCTTAACCTTCTGAACATCCACAGCTTCTCAAAGGAACACAATCAGTCTTCCTCGCTGCTCATCTGACATAAAGCATTATTTGCCTTGGCCAGATTATTTTTAGAAATGCTGTTTTAATTTCAGAACAATCTGAGTTATCATGTTTTGATTTTCTTGCCATCTCTCTTTCTTTCTCTCCGCTTCCCCTTTTTTAAAACTAGATAAAAGCTTTTCATCTACATTCTGTCTTCCTGAATTGTACCTAAGCACTTCCATAATTAGACAGACAAATTGTTGTTGTGTTGTAATGTGCTGTGGGGTCACCTGAGACTCTTAGTGACCTGATGTACAACAGCCCCAAACTCTGTTCTGTCCTTTGCCAATTTTATTGTCTCTGACACACCTACCCCGCATTATCCCAGCCACTGAAGTTACTATAACTTTTTGTAGTTGTTAGCATCCACCCAGTTAGCTCCTGATTTATCCATGTCCACGTGACTGAAATACTGCCTTCTTTTCTGTACCGTCTTTTTGAATGGCTGGAAACCAGACCTTTGTACTTAAAGGTGGCTTTTTAAGCAGTGATTTGATTTTATTTTTTAAAAATATTTAATTGTGAACTTCAAGTTTTCTGTAAATGTTTGTCAAAATATTAATTAAAAAATTTTAAAAGTTCATTGTATATGCATATCCATGTTTATCACTGCTTTATTTACAAGAGCAAAGAGATGGAAGCAACCTAAGTGTCCATCAATAAATGAATGGATGGAAAAACTACGGAATAGTCATACAATGGAACACTATGCAGCACTGAAAAACAATGAACTCATGAAACATTACACAACAGGGTGACCCTGCAGGACATTATGCTGAGAGAAATATCTCAGTCACAAAGGGACAAATACTACATCCCACCACTGTTATAAAGCAGGTCTGACATAAGGGTTTGGGAGGAGAATAGGATAAGCGTGGCTAGATAATGAACATTGCACTGGAACAGATGAAGGAAATAACTGTTTAAAAGGAATATATGATTAGACATATCTAAGACAACAGTGCCGGAATAAGAGGTATATTGCAAAGAGGACTTGGAGGAGGGAGAACAGGAGGTAATTGTGCAACAATGAATAGTTAAAAAAAAACACCAAAAAAAGTAAACTGGGAGACGGGGAAGGGAGGGAGAAAAGGTAAAAATGTGCAATTAATGAATGAATGAAAATCCAACTTTTCTGTAAACTTTCATTAAAATCACAATTAAAATATTATTAAGAAATATTTGTGTTTTGAGTGATAGTTTGTTTAGCATATTAGGTTTCCATTTCACATTTTTTAAATACACGTTTTTATGAGATGACGGTGGTGTTGTGTGCCGTCGAGTGGGCACTGACCCATAGCTGACCCTCCAGTGGGTTTTCAGAAGCAATAAATAACACAGGATAGACTGCCAATCCTTCTTCTGTGGAGCAGTTGGTTGATACGAACTGCGAGCCTCTGGGATTGCAGAGCAGCTTCTTACCATCAACCACCAGAGCTCCCTTTTATGTGATAGTGGTTGCAATTTCATCACATGTCTCCTCCTGCTTTCTATTCTGACCTTTTTTCTACAGCCTGCCTCTTTGCTCACACCTGCTGTGACTACACCCAGGGCTGCAATCAGGACATCAACATCAAGTTGTTGGTATCAGTAAGCAAGGAAGTAGCAGTATCACTTATCCCAGGTCTGAGCCTAGAGAAATGATTGGGATAGACTGGTAGTTCTCTTCCTGAGATTAATCACTAGTACAACCAAAGCAAATACAGAAGCAGAGAATGCTCTGAAATGAATAATCTTTATTTCAAAGCATGGCTGGCTAGCAGGATTTGGGCATCTCTCCTTACACTGTGCCCACATCACTGACATTCAGGAGAACTCTGTTCACGGATGTGCAGCTTGGGGAAAAAACAAACCAACCAAAAAAGCCGGTTTCTTTTCTTGGAACTCTTTCAGCATGGAACTAGGAAGGTATTAGTACTCTATAAAACCCCAAAGGAAAATTTATGTTTATAATGTGAGAAGCCAACGGAGCCTAAATCAGATTCACAAAGGAGACAGGAAACTGACTCAGAAGAAGCAACACCCTTCACAATGAAATTCAAGCTACTTACGCCTTTTCCAGAAAAGCATCCCTGGACATGTTTTGGGCCAGCAGGTTGGTTGCCAAACTGAAAACCTCATTTGTCCATTCCTGAAAATGTAAATCACATTTGCATTAATTTAAACACTACACTACCATTAGATGCATTTCTTTTTTAGCTCAGCTTTCAGGAAGACAAATTAGTTCCATTTTTATGCCCAATAGTTCCCCATTTTTTTAACTAAAAATGACATAATGGCATACAAATCCCACAGTGACTCCTCCTTTTCTAAGAAATAGTTCTTACATATAAACATTGTTTTTAAACTGTATTTTAAGCTTGGGGGCATTGATTGTCAAATGCAAGGTTGACATTCAATAACTGAACATTAGTTTTTACTCGTTTTTTCTCATTACAGGGTTACAGAAAATGCCTTTAAGATACAATGAGGTTTATTTTCAAAAGAAATGCAAATATCATTTACCCAATCATAAACAGCTATGCTAGAGTTATTACATTTAATTACAACTCGGGAAGTTCTCTAAACCAGCTGTGGTTCAAATGTGACACGATGTCACATTGGCTTAATATCCCCTGTGTTTTTAGGTACAAGCACGGACTCATAGCACTCCCATGAACAACATATCTGAACTGAACCCTGACCTCTCCCCTGCCTTCCTAATCATCTCTGACACACTTGTATCCAACACCGCAGTCGCTGTGTCAGTCCATCTGGTTCACGGGCTTCCCCTCTTTCACCAACCCTTCACATTTCCAAGCACGATGTTCTTCTTCAAGGAATAGCCTTTCCTAGTAACATGCCCAAAATATATGAGGTGAAGCTTTGTCATCTTTACCTCCACAGAGCACTCTGGCTGCATCTTCTTCAAGACCTATCTTTTTGTGATTTTGGCAGCCCATGGGATACCCAGTTCTCTTCTCCAAAATCACAGTTCAAAGGCATTGATTCTTCTTCTGTTACCCTTAATCATTGCCCAGCTCTCAGATGCACAGCAAGCAACTCAAAAGACAATGCCCTGAACCAAGCATAACGTAGTCCTCAAACTGACATCACTACTCCTCAATGATCTGGACAGGTCCCTCAGTGCAAACTTTCCTCGTCCAATACGTCTCTGATATCCCGAGTGCTGATACAAAAGGTATTGATTATAGATCCAAGTAAGATAAAATTGTAGACAGTGTCAATCTTTTCTCCATCTATCATGAAGTTGCTTATAAATTCAGAAGTGAGAATTTTTCTTTTTTGTTATATTGAGATGTAATCCGCATTGAAGGATGTATTCTTGGAACTTCTGCAGCAAGCCTGTCAGGTCCTCTTCACTTTCAGCAAACCAGGCTGTCTCTTCAGCATAATGTAGGTTATTGATGAGTTTCCCTCCTATCTTGATGCCACATTTTTCTCCATAGAGTCCAGCTTCTCAAATAATTTGCTCAGCATACAGATTGAACATCTATGGAGAGGAAATACAACCAGATGCACATCTTTTTAAATTTTAAACCATTACCCAGGAAGCATTAAAAGAAGATGGAAAGAGTATAAAGAGTCACTGTACCAAAAGAAATTGGTGGACACAGAAGAATTTCATGAAACAACGTATGAGCAAGAGCCTGTGGTGATGAAGGAAGAAGTTCAAGCTGCTCTGAAAGAATTGGCAAAAAACCCCAAGTCTCCAGGAATAGATGATATACCAACTGACATGTTTCAACAGACAGACACTGGCCTGGATGTACTCACCAAATTGTGCCAAGAAATCTGGAGGATAACCACCTGGCTAACTGACTAGAAGAGATCTATATTTGTTCCCATTCCAAAGAAAGGTGACCTGACAGAGTGTGAAAATTATCAAACAGTATCATTACTATCACACACAGTAAGATTCTGCTGAAAATTATCCAAAAACTACTGGAGCAGCATGTCAGCAGAGAACTTCCAGAAGTGCAGGCTGGGTTTAGAAGAGGCCATGGTACTAGGAATATTATAGCTAAAGTTAGATGGATCATGGCTGAAAGCAGAGCGTACCAGAGGAATGTCTATCTGTGTTTCATTGACCATGCAAAGGCATTTGACTGTGTGGATCACAACAAATTGTGGCTGACTCTGAAAAGAGTCGGAATCCTAGAACACTTGATCATGCTTATGTGAAACCAATACTTGGATCAGGAAACAGTTATCAGAACAGAACAATGAAACACTGCATGGTTCAAAATTGGGAACAGTGTACACCAGGAATGTGTCCTATCTCCATACCTTTTCAATATATATGCAGAACAAATTATCCAGGAGGCTGGGCTCCTGGATGAAGAGAAATGTGGCATCAGGATTGGAGGGAGACTCATCAACAAACTGCATTAAGCAGATGACACAACCCTGCTTGCTGAAACTGAAGAGGACCTGAAGCGCTTGGGGCAGAAGGTCAAGGACTGTAGCCATCAATACGATGCTCAACTTCAAGAAAACAAAGATTCTCACCACTGGGCTGAATGGAAGCATCATGATAGATGGTGAAGAGATTGAGATTGGTAACAGCTTTAGTTTGCTTGGCTCCACAATCAATACTCTTTATATCAGCAGCCAGGAAATGAAAAGACATATTGCAGTTGGAAAGTCTGCTGTCAGACACCTCTCCAAAGTACTGAAGAACAATGATGCCAGTCTGGAGACTAAGGTGCACCTGACCCAGGCCATAGTCTTTGAAATGACTTGCTATGTGTCAGAAAGCTGGAAAATGACTAGGGATGATAGAAGGAGAAGTGATGTCTTTGAGCTACGGTGCTGGAGAAGAGTACTGAATATACCATGGACTGGTAGGAGAACAACAGGTTCATCCTAGAGAGGGTGAGACCAGGCTGCTCCTTTGAGGCAAGGATTCTGAAGCTCCATCTGACATACTTTGGGCCTATTGCAAAGAGGGACCAGTCCTTGGAGAGGGACATCATGCTTGGGAGGGTAGAGGAACAACACAAGAGAGGAAGACCCTGGATGAGATGGACTGATTCAGTTACTGGAATAATGGGATTAGGTGTGTCAGAGACGTTAAGATTGGCACAGGATAGAGCAGGGTTTAGGGCTGTTATACGTAGGGTCTCTATGAGTCGAAGGTGACTTAACAGCACATAAGAACAACAAACAACAGTATCCCCTTGCTCTGTTTACACAACAGCTCAAATATAACAGTAGAAGTACAGGTTTAACACGAGCACAATTAGGTGTTCTGAGATTCCCATTCTTCCCAATGTTCCCTATAATGTGTTTTGATCCACACAGTCAAATGCCTTCGCATAGTCAATAAAGCACAAACAGCCATACTTCTGGTATTCTCAACCCTCTAAATTTGGTTTTCTCATTGAGGAGGAAGTTTATGGGTTCCACTTACAGCATTGACACAAAGCTTGTTAGAAATGCAGACCACATTTAGGCCACAAAGGAGCTGGAGTGTGGAGAGTCCAGTCCCGTAGTCTAGGTTAAGCACTACAAGAGGAGAGTTTGCCCCCAGACGCTTCCTGTTCTCCTCGCTATCAGGCAAAGTGGGGTCCAGTAGCCAGAGGAAGTTGTCAACAAAAAAGACAAGGGTATACAACCCTCCCACCCCACCCCAAACTGGGGGGAAGAAGTGGGCAGGGAGAAAAAACTCAACAATGAATGAATGGAAATCCAAAATCTCTTTAAACATTCATTAAAATTAATAATTTTTTTTTAAAAAGTAAACATCTAATAAAGAGAAAGTTAAGGAAAAAAAATATACTGAGAAAGAACACATTAGTTGGTAGACAAGACCGTGTTATAGTAATCAATTATTTGAATAATTTTTTAATTACATGCCAAAATTCACTTAGCACTCTATTAAAAATTATTCAGAAATGTAAAAAAAAAAAAAGGATGAGAGTGCTGGCTCTGGGGAGTGAAAGCACGCTGAAGAGGTGTACAGCAAAAGGGCAGAGGGATTTCGATACGTCTGACGAGAGCACCGTCAATGTCACTGCTGCAGGATGTCACAGATCTCGGGCCTTTGAACACCGAAAATCACCGTACTGTGCAAGTCAACGATGTGTAGCTAGAACCTGGAGGAAATGTTTTGACTCCCACGCACTCTAGAGTCGTGCTTCTCAACCTTTCTTGTGAGTCCAGATGATTGGAGACCTTGTTAAAGCACAGGTATTGATTAGTGCATCTGGGGAAGAAACTGAGGTATCTATACGCTTCCAGGCAGGACTTTGACACGGAACAGCAAGTTTCCGGAGCAGTCTTGCAGCTCCGGCAGAACGTTTGATAGAAACAGAGGACTTCCGGGTCCATGAGACTCTGCATTTTTTTTCATGTGAATCCCTTGTCTTTTACATGCTTATTTAAATTTGACGATACTGCTGAGGCAGGGTTTGAGAGCAAAGCATTAGAAGACTAGTTTAAAATATCATCTCTATCTATCTCCTGCTCAGGAAAATAAAATCATTAAGGGATGTGAACTTCAAAGGCATAAGCAAAAAGCCCTTGCAGCTGTATTAAGAGCGCCAGGGTTACAGAGATAAAACAGTTTCCAACAACTGGGGCACGTCACAGATTATGAAATATGTTTTGCCATAGGGTAGATGGATCCCACACTAGCAGTGTTGTAATAAATCTGATTCTAGGCCCTAATTAAGATAATGCTGGGATGGCAGTTTTTGGAAAAATTTGTTTTTAATCTGAGGGATTTGTTTCTGTACTTTCAGAGACAAAATTGTGGTGATTGCTCGCAAGCTCAGTTCCGCTCCTGCTATTTAATCTCTGAAGCTTCTTAAGTATTATTTGTGCCTCGCGGACAATCTCGACCCCATGGAGGGACAACTGGAGACAAGAGCTCCAGAGACTTCTGCGAAGCTACAGTGTTTCAGCTTGAATCTCCATGTGTAGACTTAAATATTACAACTGTGAAGTTTATTTTATGATCCCCATGGTCACTACCACGTTACTGGGTCATGAAACCATAAAAACAGCCCCCCCCTTTCTTTTTTACTGTAGCACAAAGTTATAGATTCTGATTTCTAAAGCCTTTAAATTCAATTGTCCTTTGCACACCATTTTGTATCTACGCGAAACAACCTGTTCTTAGGT